TCCTGCGCGGAGGCCAGGAGAGGAAGGGCACTGCTCGTGACGCTCTTGACATCTCTTGACTCTCTCTGTGCTCCTCTCAGAGAGGCTCTCCCTCTTGCGAGCGCTCTCTCCTGTGCTAGCATCGACCGTCGCAGCGCCGCTCCGTGTCGGGGTGCCAGACCCAGGCTCCTCCGGCGCCCCACTCCCCAAAGTTTAATCACTCCGCATCTGAGCCTGTCCCCCCAAATTAAGATCTGAGACAAGCGATGGCTCTCCTTTCTCTGATTGATCGGTGGAGGTTCCGGGTGGATTTTCAAAGGTCTGGACCTGGTTCATGTGAATCACTGTGAACATGTGTCCGGATGTGTCCGCGCGACCGGGGGCAACAAGGTCTATCCACACACGCCTCCACGCAGCCGGCGTTTGGGGTGCAACTTCATCTGCCTGAACTTCTGCAGGGTCGCGCATTTCTGTCTCTCGTGTTGCCGTGCTGCCGTGCCTCGAGTGTGAAGACGAAACTGCTGTCATCCAGCTCAATGCCGTTGTACAAGTCCTGCATGTTTTTGAAGTGGACGTCAACAATGCAAGCTCGGTGCTGGCGCTCAGAAAAGAATCAGGCGCGATAGGAGCGGTGTGCACACTCGGTTTTTTTGCCGGTGCGGAGGTCAGGACAACCAGAGCTCCCAGGGCTGACCCCCCAGATGCACCGAATTCCTGCGCGGAGTGTAGCTCCGAGATGCTCCCCGAGACTACTGAGGCTTGGCGGGCGGCTTGGCGGGCTTGGCGGGCTTTGCGCTGAGACTTTCGGCAAGTTGGGCAGGCTGTCAGCTGATCTCGTTGCTGTCGCTGTCACTGCCTTCGTCCACCTCCCAGATACACTTACAGAATATCACAGAATGCCCTTCCTGTACAACACAGAAAGCACTACATCTCCATCTGCAGGCCTTCCAACGTGCATGGTCGAAAGGTAGCGCTAAGAATCCAAAGCTGTCGCCGTTCTCTTGCCTTGGCTGACAGTGCCTCACACTTCTGAGGATTGCACGTATACAAGTCTGCGTAAACAAGCGCATGTACTCATACTTCCTGAGGGCGAGGAGCATGCGCTTGTACGCGCCGAAAGCACACGCCGGCAGCACAGCGATGGAAATCACCTTTGCCATCATTTGCCACGCAGTGCCCAAAGCAGTGCGTGAGAGCGTCTAAGGCTCCTGGCCACGAGAGAAGTTCCGGAGGCGCCAAGCCTGGCACGAGCCACTTAGCTGCACTTCGCTTCAGGAAAGGAACCTTCACTGAGAACTGCTGACAGAGCTGACACCAGAGACACCAGAGACCGCCACCTACTCAGCCAGCTTTCTGCCTCCTTGCACGGCTGCATCTGTAGCAGAATTTGTGGCGACGCTCCATGTCCCAACACTTACCCCACGAGAACTCCCTCTTTTCATGTCCTCTTTCTCAGCCGCCCTGCTAGTAGTAACAGACATTTCCATCGAGGTCCTGTGTCACAGTCCAAACATAGCACACCATCTGCGAGCTGTGTGTACTCAGCACCTTCCTGATGCGTCACAAACTGCACATTGCTCGTGCCAAGGACACGACTGAGAAAGTATCTGTACATCCTCCGGTGTCGCCGCACCTTCTTGAAAGTGTGCACTCTTCAACCGTGACTTGCATGCCCCACTTAGAACTCTTGCTCCAAGTGCTAGGTCTGAAACGGCAGAGTGTGATGCAGAGCACATTTGGACACACAAGACTACACCAGTGTCAGACAGTCGTCATCGGTGTCCGATCCCCCCGTCTTCTCTTGTGTTGATGGTGATGAGCTGTTTTTCGTGTATCCCCATACTGGTGCTTGCAACGCACTGCTTCTGTTCCATCATTAGCCTCGCAGTGGGCGCTATCTGGCTCAAAGACGACGCCAAGTCTTGGAGTTGCAAGAGGGCCTCCGGTATGTGCTCCCTACACCAACGGACTGCACTGGGTAAGCCCACATAGGTCGGATCGCTCCAGCTTCTTTCGTGCACCAAACAGCAAAGCATAGATGTGTTTCTCTCCGAAGAAGCGAGTATGCAATCACCGCGGTGCATGCTGGGTTGCGCTTACGAAACACAATTCACCATTTTGCACATGTTCTTAGATGCTAAGATTCTGCAGTAGAAAACTCCACGCATGTTTCTGCACTTCTTGGTCATTTGGGAGTGCGGCCTGTCGGCACAAACAGAATAAACAGAAGTGAATGGGGAATGGAGAGTCGAGCTTGAAATGACCACCGCTGAGCACCGGCCCCCTCTCTGGCTCCCTCTCTGCCTCTCTGAAGCTTCGGAGAAACCTCTTTTGGGGGGGGGGAGGTCTTGGGGGAAGTCTTGGGGGAAGTCTTGGGCGGGCACTTGGACCCCGAAGCGATCGCTTCACGCTGTCGGTGGCGGAGCTGGAACAAACAGCCAGGAGAAGGAGGCCTCCGGGGCGAGGAGCTAAGAGCGGGTTGCACAAAGGGAGCTTGCGTGCGACCTCTGCTGCTGGCAGCTGCGGCAGACTGAGGCCCTTGAAGACCTGAAAAACACCCTGCCTGCACGTCTCCAAGCCATGGCTCCGTCAGCTGTAGCCCAGAAACTGAGGGCAACCTTCTGCTTTCGTCAACGTTCCTGGCCTCGAGATACTTCGTGATTTTACACTGATTCTACACTACTCCAAGGCCATCCGGCTCTACTGGATTTCGTTGGCCTACATGCATCCGGGTTGCATCCGGTTCATGACTTTCATTTCTTCCTCTTGGATCCAGAGGACTCCGAATCCCTCGGAGTATTGGGAGTCTCTCGAGCCAGAAGCGAGCAGAAACATCACCGGATCAGCTCGCAGTGAGCGCTCAGCGATTTCTGCGCTCAGAAGGACTACTCCCTCCGCACAGCCTCAACGGGCTTTGGGCATCAGTTTGGAAAGTTATGCCTTTCCCTTAGATGCCACTTGCCTCTGGCCCCTGAGGCCCCTGTTTCTGCCACGGATGGCAAATTGCACCGCCCCCTGCCCCCTGTCGGCGTCGGCACAGGTGGACACGCGAAGCGTAAAGTTTACATGGTGTCTGCCTGGCACAGAACAGCCAACGGCTCCCAGCTCAGCACGCCTTGGGCATGAGGTTCTCATCGAGGACAAAGACCATGGAGTAGAGGTCCACCTCTCAGATCTTCACTCGACTCACTCGAGAGCACTCGAGCACACCAGGCTGCGGCTACGCGATGCAAGAGTCTAGTGCATGCCTCAATGATGTCATCCTGACGTCCACCCTCAGCGAATGTGGTGAATTGCAGACTGCTTAGCTGCAGAGAAATGCCCATTGGAGCCCGCAACTGTCCCGCCTCGCCATGCCACTCCTCATAGTACCTGCTGCTGCAGCCGGAGATCGAGCGGTGCAGTCGAGTTCGGCTTGCACGTCTGGGAATCTGGGAATCTGGGAGCCCGGCGAGTTATCGTAGCTGTTGAAGTGGTGATGGTGGTATCTCGGCATTCAAACTGGTGCCCGTTTGTGGCCCCCTTGTTAACGCCATCCTTTTGGCAATGAGCTTCGCTGCACTTCACTGGAGCCTGAGCTTTGGGCCCCTCATCCTCCCACCAGCCATCTTCGCCGTAGTACCTCAGGGGCAGCCGAGAAGAAACAAGCGCCAAGGGCCAAGGAACAGCCGTGAGCCTCTCGGAATCTGCAGAATCTTGACTTTTCTATTCTCAAAACCTTTGACGAAGGGGGCACCCATCGTAGGACCGCTCACTCCGTTCAGCGTCCGGAGTTGCACCTCGTTTCTTCGAAACAAAATCATTTCGAGAACCAGGAATAATCGATTTCTGTAGAATCCCATGCTGAGTCAATGCTGAGAACTGTGCCCTCTGATCGACTGGCCTTCAGTCTCTGTGGCTGCCAGCAAGAATACGCAAGGCGCGGGCAGATGCGAAATGGTGCGGCGACACACAGAGCATCGGAGCATCCTCAAAGCATCCTCGGAGCACCCCGGGGCGCCCCACGATGCTGGCTTTCCTCTGCAGAGCTCCTCGGGGGGTCCTCGCTTCTTTTTACCCGCTGACTGCAGGTCCAACTGGTCTCAACTGCACTAAGTACTCTGAGTCTCTGAGTGTTACCAAACTTCTGCTAATCGTTTGCGGAGTCTGCAGCGTCCTGCTGCCCACGCTAAGGACATCAGACATGTGCTCTACATCTGCGCCCACAGCCAGTAGGCGTAGTACATGCCTTCACGCGGACAAAGCAGAGCCAGCACCCAGCAGATTTGACAACACGGCCTTCAGCGTCCCATCTGCTCCTGCAGGCCACTAGGATGGCGAACGATGGACAGCTTGGCATTCTGCCTTACGAGTACGTATTACATTATCTTCGCAGAGTCCTGGCAGAGGGGAGGACCTGACGGGGGGCTCCCCCGATCCTTCGAACCAAGCGCTGCACCGGCGAACTCAGTGAACCATCGTGGACCGAGAGGCCCCGAGTCCATGGCATCATGCGCCCCTCAAGGAAGTCTCCCCCTATGTCGTTTGCAGTGTGCAAAGGGCCTTTTTTTCCCGGGTTTCCTGAGGATGCTTGTGGCTTTGCCACAGCGTGATGGATCGTTAACAACGCGTGCCCTGGCCTACTCAGCTCGGGCACCCTCTCAGGGCTCTCCAAAGAAACTCAAACTAACGCCCCGACTCTCTCTTTCTCTTTCAACTGCGCTTCACTAAAAAATGAGAGAGCAGAAACACGATGGAGAAAACGATCGAAGACTTGAGCTGAGAGAGCTTCGCCCCGCTTCGCGCTGAGAGCGAGGCGCCTCTCTTTCATCCTTTTCCCCTTCGTTACAGTAAAGCAGAAAGAGAGAGAGAGAGAGAGAGAGAGAGAGCAATCCGCAGAGAGAGAGAGAGAGAAAGAGAGAGAGAGAGAGAGCGCGGCTTCGAGACCAGCTTCGAGAGCAGCAAGCTTAAGCAGCAGAGAGAGCTCTCCGTGAGCTGCTTCTTTGCGGCTCTGAAAAAGCGGCAAAGCGGCTCCACTCAGCTCAGCTCTCAGTTCTCACTGCGGGAGTCCGGCCGCGGGCGGGTGCCGCGCCGCAGGATTCCTGAAGAGCATTGAAGAGCCAGAGTGCACAAGGCACTTTTCTCCCAGCTCAAATACGCCAAAGTGGCTCGAGTTGGCTGACGTGTGCAAGGGAAATGCAGCGAGGAGCATGCTTGTGGAAGCACACCGAGGCACAACTGCTGGCCTTCAATTCCATGTCTGCCCCTTTTCCTATCTGTCGTTGCTTCAGGCTTTAGCAGCAGCAGCTTCTTGGCATTATGTCCCCTTGTCCCCTTGTCCCCTTGTCTTGGCGAGGAACGTCTTGGCTCGAAACGAGAGCGAAGGTCCATCCCTTGGCACTCTTCTTGGAGGCGCTCACCGTGCTCAGCTTCATCTTCCTAAGAGGATCTCGAAAGTCAGAAAAGGAGAGCTAGGGAGAGGGAGGCTGAAAAAGAGAGGGAAAGAGCTAAAGAGAGAGACTCGCACGGTCACTGCGTGACTAGAGGCGGATGCGGCGGCTGCTTCCCGCGGTCCTCCTCTCTTTGCGCCGTGAGGGGAGCCCAGGTCAAGGAGCCGCACGTCTCGCGTGAGCAACAATACAAACGACACCGCCCCCCCCCCCCCCCCCCCCCCTTCTTCAAAAAAGAGAGCATCACAAAGACCTACAAAAAAGCTGGGCATCTCGCTGATCACTGGAATGATCACTGGAATGACCACTGGAACATCACAACGCACAACCTGAAAAAGAGAAAAGCAAAAGCTGGGGAAGTGCTCTCTGCGCCTGGCACCGCCGCCAGCCCAAGAGCTCCAGAAGGGAGGCCTCTCTTCAAAGAGCAATGAGAAGAGCTGCTTCTTTGGTATTCTTCGCGCTGTTCTCCACAACTCCCCCTAAGACTCTTCTTAAAGACTCCTCTTAAAGCACCTAATTCTCAAACTCTTCTGGACTTCTCTTAGCTCTCGCTTTCTTTCGGCTGGGCTTGTGGGGGTGGTACCCCCACCCCCCTTGCCACCCCACCCCCCGGAGACAAAAGAAAAACTGCCCGTTCACCTAAACCCCTCACAGAGGGGGGGAGAGGGAAACCCTAAACCTGCAGCCTCAACCGTAAACCCCTAAACCTCTAAACCCTAAAGATTAAGCCAGCCGAAGCCTGACCTGAACCCTCCCTGCATGGACCCTAACCCACGAACCACAGGAGAGGGGTGAAAAAAACACACTCTAATAGCAAAGCAAGGCAAGCTCTTGTGAGAAGCTCTTTGAAGAGGGAGACGCTTTGGCACCTTCTCGGGCTGGCCCGGCAGCTTGGCTGCAGCCCGCGTCGACGCAGTCACGTTGAAGAGGCAGGCCGGCTTCTCGCCCAGGAAGTCCTGACAGGGAGAGGAACAGGGAGGTTGGAGACGAAGAGGGAGAGGGAGAGGGGGAGCACATGTGAAGCAAAAGGCTACGGCTACAGTGGCAGAGGGCTGCGCTGCGGCGATTCTTGAGGAGACTTTGCAGAGCCCGCACTCTTTTTGGAGCAAGTGTCGCCTCTAAAGTGACGTGCGGAGGTCGGCTTCGCTTGCGGCTCACCGAGGGCGAGCGCGAACGGAGGTCCGCGAGGAAGCTCTCAAGGCTCTGTGCCTGCGGAGGCACTCTCGACAGTTCACAGCAGTCGCAGTTGTTGTTCTAAGCGAAGAACGAGAAGTGTCTCACACGATTCTTCGTTGATTCGATCGGCGGTGGCTGCTTGGTTGCTCGCGGCTCCCGGCCTCTGCAGGTCCCCGGGATGCGTCTCTCGGGCGCACTTGGAACTTCGCCTGCCAGAATTTAGACTCGAAGAGGCTCATACACGATCCCCAGCCAAGGCTTCGAACTTGCAAAATTTTTAAGAAGACCTTGAATAGAAAAAGGAAAGGAAAAAGAAGGTGGAAGAGACATCTCTGACTGGCCTCCTCGCAGAGTGAAGGCGCTGGCGGCTGGTTCGGGTTCTCCGGGGAGGGGTCCCGGGAGCCCCACAGGGACCTCATCATGTCCCGGGCGCCGCTCTGGGCCTGCCGCTCCTGAAAAACATCGACACACACCAAAACAAAATAAAATAAAAGGATAAGAAGAAGAAGAAACCATGAGAATAATCATAAATACATCTCAACAAGATAAACAGAGAGCGGGGAAAAAGAGAGGAGCTCCCCTCCGCGCCTCCAGAAGGTCGGCCAAGTAGTCCACCTCTTGGGGGACGGCACGTCGCTAGGGCTAGAGCCGCTCAAGGGGGGGGGGGGGAAATGAGCTTACAGCCTCCTGCTCTCTCTTCCCCCCCCCAGTTGTAGTCTGGACGTGCTTTGACCATGTCCTTCGTTTCTGTCCCGCCTGCTGTGCCAAGGCCTCGGTCCTGCACATGACACGCTGGAAGCTCAGTCTGTCATTTCTGATGTCATCTATGAGCTCGTGAATCTCTCGTGAATTTCGATTACGCTGCTGAAGTTTGCTTTCCCTCGCAAACGCAACCTCCTGGAGGATCGACTGTGGTCAGGCGATGATGCATACGCGTTGAACAGTACAGGCAGTCTCGGAACAACGCTCACTATACCTTGGTTTCCATGGCTGCTGCGCCAGATTGCGCGCCCAGATCCAGCACTTTGTGTCTCCGTGTGAAAGCTTGGTCAAAGCAGGTCAGGTTGTTCAAGCATACGTGCATACGTGCTGCTTTTTGAATGAAGGCTGCTTACCTTTCAACGAGGCAAAGTGCCGCATACTTGATTGACAACGACGAGCACTGATGTTCGAACATGCTCCAATACTCTTTGGCAACCGGAAGAGCTTGTACATGTCTTGTACCCGCAGTACTCAAGTTCGATAGGATCTGTACCAGACATGGTTGACCCCGGTCCCAGGTCGTACAACTTTCAAGAAACTGAAGTGCTAAGACTTGAAAGGCTGTAAGACTGCGACGACGGCTCAGGAAATCCTCAGTTTCTTCATGCGTTCGCCGTGCCGGTCCTTTGTGCCTCCTCCTCCAAAAGGAGTCGCAGCGTTGTGTTGTCCTCCTCGAGCTCCTGGGCACTGGGGCTCATCTGAAAACTCGTGATGTCACCGTCCAACACTACGACGGTTTTGGTGGCACACTTGAGCGTATTTTAATATGGGCTATCCAATCTGTGAGCTTCATCCTCTAAAGATACCCCCTACAGATATCGCCCTCAGGTTTTCGGGCTTTCCCTGCCTGCGCCCGGCTTTCGGAGCTCGCCTTCTCGGCCCGCAGGGCATCCCGCTCAGCGGCCACTCCGGCCATCTGCTGCTCCAGGTCCTCGCGGTTCTCACTGCGGTTCTCGCTGCGCTCGCTGCGCCGCGACGGGGAGGCCAGGGATGCCAGGGAGGCCAGGGAGCTCGGGGACGGCGGCTTCGGAGTCTCATAGCTGGAGCTTGCACTCAGGCGCTGGACGACCGCTCGGCCTGCACGGCGCCAGCGCTGCCGAGCCAGGTCTTCCGCGTCCTTGTCCTTCTCCTCTCCCTCCTCTTTCTCCCGTGGGCTGCTCGTGCGGCGCCGGCTCTTCTGGCACTCCGCCTGCAACTTCCGGTGCTCCTCCTCGAGCCTCCGGTGCCTCTCCTCCAGAGCCACGGCGTGCTCCTCGGCCAAGCATGCCGCCTCCCGGTGCTCCTCAGCTCTGAGCAGAGAGCTCGACACGTGGGCACTTAGAGAGGCGCGCGCCGGCACTCAACAGCTCGTGCAGATTCGTGCGAGATCCTGGCCTGCTCGCTCTGCTCGGAGCGCTTCAGCCGCTGCCTCATCTGCTCCATACTCAGCTCCTGGAGAGCGAAGGGAGGAACAGGAACTGACAGGAACCCTCTTCCTGAGCGCATGTGGGTGTACGAAACGCCCACAGGGCTTGCGCACAGATGCTGCGCCCCTTTGAGATGCGCTGCGGTTCAAGTAGGTTGCGCTTGAGAGGCGCTTCCTCGTCCGAGTCCACCGATGCCGCGCTCTGCAAGCGCAGCTGCCGCGCCTTGCGAAAAGAAGTGGTGCTTCTTTTTTGCGACCCGGTCTTAGGACCTGGTCGTCCTATTTCGGCCTTGCGCCCGTCCCTCTCCAGCTCCAGCTCCAAACGCCGGCACTCCTGACAAGACGAGTAAAGAATCTCCATGATTCCATGATGTCTCCATGCGAAGTTCACTTGTCAATCCCTTGTCCCTTTGTCTCCTCTTCGAGCCCCTGACCTGGAACCGGAAGATTGTCAATCACAGAGAAAAACTGCCACCGCTGCTCACTGTGGGGCCCAGGCGCTGGCGGACCTGAACATGTTCTTGTCAACGTGGCATGCGCAGGCTTCTGACCCAGTACCGTCACAACTCCAGCGCCGCATACCGCACGTGGACTGGCCCATGTTCCAGCGCACGGGGTCATCGAGCCTCTGAGGCAGCGATCCGTGACTTCTCCATCCGCAACACCTCAGAGAACCAATGCCCAGAAAGGGTGTAAAAGCATGTAAAAGCAAAGCTACGGATCCGATGCAAAGTGGGCAGAGCATGGGAAACTGCGTGCCCACACGTCAAGCTCCTGCTCCAAGGCTTCGTTCCTGGCACCCACTCCAACTGCTCCGAGATCAACATCCCACATGCCTGTGCACCTGTTCTAAGCTCCGTCCCTGACACGTCTTGCATGAATCGTTGACGAAGGCTTTGGTGTAATTTCGGTGCAATCATTCTAGCCGCTAGCTCTCGCTTGTCACCGACTTGGACTCTCCCGTGTTTGCCTCGAGAGCAGCATCTGGCCGACTTCCGCCGACCTCGAGCGACGATGAAGGCGAAGAAGAACATAAGATGCATAAGATAATCAATGACTCAATGGCTCACTGACATGCCCCTGAAATCGGGAAGTGAGAGCACTTGGAGTGGCTGCAGTTGGATCCCCAGCTCTGAGAGAAAATTCTCAGCGCGGCGCTGGCGGAGGGCCTCGCGCGCCTCCGCGGCGCCTCGGAGGCGGCCGCGAACTTTTTGCCGAGCTCTTCGCTTCTCAGTTTTGCGGGGGAGTTTCCACGTGATTTTCTTGACAATGTCTCTTTTTGTCTCTTCGAAAACCGTGTGATGTCCTGTGTGTTCTGGGCTTCTTCCCGAGGTGCTCTCTTTGCATCCCGGTCCGCGCCTCGCCGCGCAGCCTCCATCTCGGTTCGGAGCAGCTCCAGCTCCTCAACAACCGAAGGACCCACCAGCATCCCACCCCCACATGATGCCCACATGATGCCCACATGATGCCCACATGATGCCCACATGATGCCCAATCATGCGACTCTGATCAAGTCACAGTCATCTCAAGTCCGTATTTCGGCTTCCGTTGAGGCTTTTCGCAGGATGTGGCTGCTTATATGTGGGCGTGACGAGCCCTCCGAGCAGCGAGCACAGCCCGCATCCGAGACCGCCATGCCATTCGTCGGCGCCGTTTGCCGATGGACCCGCAGGACATAAACACTCAAGTAGCTCAGGGGCACAGAAACCCGCCCACAGGATCCTGAAGGACTGGCGTGTTCAAGTTAGGCGCAAGCGATGGCCTCTCACAGCAGGCTAGGTATCCAAACATCAGTTAACAATCCTGGAGGATGGTCTGAGCCAAGCATGGCAAGCTGTTGCTGAGCATGGAGCCCTGTTACCGACCCTGCCTGACGACTCGAGCCCTCTAAAGTCTCTAAAGGTCCTCCCCCAAAACCCAGGACTTTTTTCACGACGCGTGGCACAATTCGAGGTGTGAGCTCCCTTGCCTGCGCTTTTCACGAAGTTCCCCGACTCTAAGACTCCAAGAGAGACCCTGAGGCTCATAGCCTCAAAGCCGAAAAGATTTGAAACTCGGGCTTTTCACCACAGATGCTTGCAGGGCCTTCGTGATCCGGAAACTTCACCGAACAGCGCGCTCGCGAACGAGCTGAGGCAAACGGTGAGACGCACAAATTGGAGGTGAGACCCACTGTGTCCAGATTTGGAGCCGCGGTTCCAGCTGTGACTGCAGGAGGCTAAAACTAAGTGTTTGTGGCCATTTGCGGCCTCATGATTGCACTGAGAGAAGCAACAATCCTCAGCCGGAGTTGTCACACATTGTCCAGACATGTCCAGACATGTCCAAAACATGTTCAAAACATGTCCACACCGTGCACGCAGGTGCTTCGACTCGTGCGCGCAGCGATGCGGAGCCTGGCATCGGATCCTTGAAGACGCGTCGGTCAGGGTCAATGCACGTGTATGCGCGTGTCTGGGGTCTTTTCCAGCTGTTGTGCAATAGGTCACACTACGCGCTGCTACGTTATTCCTTTGGGTTCTAGGATTGTCGAGGCGTATGCGGCTCATGACACATTTCTGCCGTGCCAGGCTTGCCGAGAGATGCGATGCGAATGAAGACTCCTTGCAAGTCTCGCACGCCTCACAAAATAGAACGCGCACACTGCGCTGCACCGACTCTGCCGGGAGCTCACGTCTTGGCTGTCTCGCCAGTCACCTCAGGCGGCTCCTCTCGAGGAAACGGAGAAAAGCCGTCAAACACAAAGCCCCTATATGGACAGCGGGTCCTCGAGCCAGCACACGAAATTGCCATGCTCCCACTGAGATTTCCGAGAAAGGCCTTCCGAGGCTCTACAGAGAGAGAGAGGAGGGAGAGAGAGAGAGAGAGAGAGACAGAGAGAGCGAGCGAGAGAGCAACGCAAGGACCACCAGGAAGGCAACGAATTGGCTCTTGCTCAGCGCAGCTTTAGCATCGCCAGCGCCTTTGGCAGTGACAGCGATGCCGACGCCATGCTGCCGGCCACTGTCCCACTGGCCTTTTTCATTGGATTGCTGATGGAAAAGAACGAAACACACATGGGGCACTTGCCCTTGAGGCAAGCGCGCCCCAGAAATTGAAACCGGCACTTTTTTCAGGGAGGCTTCCAGCCAAGCATGTGAAAAGACCCTGAAAGACCCTGCGCCTGTGTAGGAGCGGCCATCAGGCCAGGAGAGCTTGCCCTCCCCGTGCTTCTTTCCTTAGAGCAGTTGCAATCCTAAGAGGCGCTCTGAAATCAAAGTTCGGTCCACCCCAAGCGCGCCCGGATCCAATTTGTGCGCAGGAGCCATCACGAAACTGACCTTCGTAGCAGCGACCATCCGTCCACTGCATGGTACCACTGGGGCCCATGTGATTCCTTTGCCAGGCAATGTACTCAGGCAATGTACTCAGAACTGAATGTGTGCTTCGCACCACGGCATCCAAAGATGGTTGGGATCCCGACCGACGCCACTGGCCAGTGTACGACCTGCCGTCGCTCCATTGGTAGCGACCTTCGCCGTGCATGTCGTTGGCATCGAAGTCTCCCTGTGAGAGCGTGGCCGCGTGGCCGCGTGGCCGCGTGGCCCACGGGTTGGAGAGAAAGCGACATCACAGAAGCAAGAGAAGCCGCATGGAGCATGGAGGCGCATGACAAAAAGTTCCCACCAAAAGTCAAGTGACTTAAACTGAATCTACAAGAGTCGCACGAAGAAAGAGGCGGTCGTCCCGAGGCCTCGTAGCTGCCCCCTGTGTTCCAAGTGAATTTGCCTTTCCCGCACTTGTCGCCGTTCTTGAATTGGCCCTGAGGAACCACACGATTGCACTGAGGATGCACTGAGGACGCACAGATCTTAGAGGCGTGTTGCAAAAAGGCTTCAGGTCCCCGACCTCAAATATGCTGCCGTCCACGAGCTTCTCCACCCCGTGGCCGTCTTGGACCTCAGTGACCCCGCAGTGCTCCGCATGTGGGGGTGCAGTGGCGGTGTGGTGAAGCGATGCCGATTCGGCAAGGCACCTCCATCTTCCATTGGCCCTCGTACGTAGAGCCGTTGCTGTAGGTGTACCTTGCAATGTTTACCCCGAAGTTGAAGCTCGCACAATGCACACGGAGGATGATCCGAAGCTGTCCCTAAGTTGCAGGCTTTCCCGTGCCGTGCTTTCGATCCGAGTCGAACTGGCCCTCGTACATGGAGCCATCAGCGAAGATCAGCTTGCCCTGGCAGCATTGTGGTTCTTGCATAGGTCCATAGGTCCTTGTATGTCCTTGTGCATGTTGCAGCCAAAACGAACAGAGCAGCAGCATCCCTGCAGTCGGCCTGGCCATGCTTGTCTTCACCTCGCCATTGGCCCTCCTGAATTTCCACGAGAGCAGGCAGCAGACATCTGCAGACTCACGGGTGCTGCTATGCGCTTTGCTAAGCCTCCAACGTAGATGGCCCCTCCACTCAGTGTTTGACCGCCTGGTGTCTTCTCAGAGCCTTAAGTGCAAGAACATGCGCAAACAAATGCACAGATAGATGGCTCCACGACTAACTATCGCAGACGGTGCAGGCCCCCAATGGCTCGCAGAATCAAGAAGTCCGAACTGTTGCAGCAGAAGCGCTGCGAGGAATTTGGGTCGGATTTAATGCCCCACCCATCAAGAGCCAAGCCTCCAGTGGCCTCCAGGGGGCGTGGAGAGCTGCCCTGGCATCGGCTTTCATCGGCATGCATCCGCTTTCGCCACTCTCAGTCTCCGGCCCCGAGTTCCATGATGAAACTGAAACCAAGCGAATTCTTGCAATTCCCCCCAAGCCTTCACCTCGCCCGGCTCGATGTTGAGCGTCGGTGGGGGCCCCCTTGGCCGTGGCAAGACATCCCTGTTTGCTGAACGCGGCCCTGCTGACAGCACCTCCTCCCTCCCCCGTGCCAAAACAGAACACTGCGCCCGCAAACTACACAATCTGCACCTGTTCAGACTCCTCACCATAGCAGAGTCAGTACCGTCACTCAACCTGAACCCTTCCAAGCTGCTTCTCACAGCCGCATCCGGTGGAGCTGCAGGCGCCCATCCTAACTTGTTCCCGTGAAAGTCACAGCACACCTTCCACTCCCGCCTCCTACAACCTACACAGACATGTCGACACTCTCTGCGAGAAGCAAACACACAAACCGATTGCTCTGGCTCTCGCACTCACGCTCTCACACGTGCCTCCCGGTTCTGTCTTAGCATCGAGCCATCGCCCCGAATGGCAAAACAAGAGAAGGTGCTAGGATGGGATCTGTGTGTGTACATGTATATATAGATATGTTGCTGTCACAAGGCTGCTGCCCGCGCGCCATATGACCTTGTGCTGGGCAACTCCATCACCGCTCGGGACCTGAGCCTGAAGATATGTGGGTTCGGCAGGACATTTACTGTCTGACTGACTGCCTCACCACCCGCACTGCACCCACCGCCCCTGTAAATTTAAGCGTTGTGAAGTTGGGCGTTTCCCTAGGAAAACCTCTAATCTTGATAGGATTCCTAGCAATCTTCGTGAAAACCTCTATTCCCTCTACCTCTACAGGGTCATTTCTCGAAGATATGGTCCCCTTTGGGATCGTTACTGAGGCGGCCCCGATGCACCCAACAAGGGGCCATGATTTGTATAATTCACCGTATGTTAATGGGATTCCTATGAAGTTCCATAGGCTTCCTTTAGCAACGCCAGAAGGTTGTCGCTTGCAGACGGAAATGCGAACGCCTCCCACGCGCCAGCGCAACGACCCGCCGCGGACAGTGAGAGGGTTGTCGTTCGCGGAACTATACTTGAGTCCGCTTCTCCGGCTCCTCCCAGCGCACACATCTTTTCACTTCACGCCCAGAGTGTTCAACGTTCAGCTCGCCTTTGGAAACACCGCTCGAGGCAACTACCAGGAAGCAGTTGGGTCCAGCTTTGCTGGGTGGCAGCCGGAAAGGCATTTCTGCTGCAAACATTCGATGTGTCCTGACTGGCAATCTGACCTATTCTCGGCTTCAGGCATGGATCCATTTCCGGCTGCAACGTCAGGCACCAGTGGCTCGGACTTGCTGAAACAGAAACTCAATCCGCATTTCTACAGTGCTACCTCCTGTGGCGAGGATGTAGCCTGCAGGGAATCAAACTGCGCAGACATGCAGAGGCAACCCTCGCAGAAGCTTGCACCAGGCTAGAGATCACGACAGCAGCAGCAGCAGCAGTGCCCCAGCGTGGGGCGGGGGGGCCTTCTCTGGACCAATGAGAAGCCGCCAGACATCCTCTGCTGAGATGATCTGCCTTGGGGCGACGTGAGCAGCGTGCAGCGTGAGCCGTGTGAGAACGGAAAGCATACACGATGAACACTGCCGCTATTCTCACTGCAAAGGCTGAGAGTCCAGGGGCTCGACCGCAGCATCTTCTCGCTGGGATCCTTCTGTACTCTACACAATACTTGACAGTAGTGCGAGTACTCGAACGCTACGACAACACGAACTAAAGGGGGCCAGACTTGATGGCGTATTCTTCATTCTTCGTGCCACGGACGTGCCACTGACAGTGCCACTGACGTGCCGCTCCTGCAGCAAGAGGACCTTCCGGTTCTCGGCCTCCAAGAGGCGGAGGATGACCTCTTTCAACGTGAGTTCCTGCAGTCGCACGTCGCATCGCAAGATTCATGTGAGAGTTGATGCAAGCAATCCTTCTCGTACGCGACACTGGCCCCCAGGAAGTCACTCGCCTCTGTCAAAACACCATACGAGCTGCTTTCTGATCACATCACAAACATCATCGGACATCCGGTTGTTCATTTTGTGGCCCAACTTTCGAGCTGCATGTTCGGCTCGTCTGTAAGGCCAGGATGCAGTGCTACTTTGTGTCCCGAAATCAACAGCAGAATGAGCTCAATTTCTGAGCTAGCTAGGAACTGTTGAATTATTCTTAGATTTGCAAGTGAAGCTTGCTAGGATGCTTTTCATATCACTGAAGCCACTGCAGCCACAGCGCACGGCACGCGCACTAGCGGTCACTAGCGAGAGACAGAGGCATGCTTTGGCCCAATCATTTGGATTTATCTTTCTTCTCCTTCTTAGCTGTCTTGTCCTTCTTCTTCCGGCGCTTCTTTTCGCGCGTGGACTCCGATCCACTCTCGTCTCGCTCCTTCTCTCGGTCCTTCTCCTTGTTGCGGTGCTTGTCTTTCCTCTTCTCATGCTTTTCGTGCTTGTCGTGCTTGTCCTTCTTCCTCCTTTCCCCACCCATGGGCATGGGCATGCCAGGCATCAGGTACGGCTGCGGCAGCATGGTCATGGGGAGGCCAGGCCTGTGCCCCATCATTCCAGGGATTGCCATGGGTCCCCAGTGCATCGGATAGAAGTACTGGCTAGGATTCAAGTGGCTTGGGTGGGAGGAATGAGCTGGAGCCTGAGCCTGAGCCTGAGCTGCCTGAGCTGGCTGAGAACTTCTTTTGTGGGCCTTCTCTTTGGGAGAGCTCGAAGCCCTCGAAGCCCTCGAAGCCCTCGAAGCCCTCGAGCTGCTTCTCTTCGCCTTCGGTGAGGGAGACGCCCTGGTTCCCTTCTCCTTCGCCTCACTCTTTTCTTGGGACCTGTCTTTCTCCTTGCCGTCCTTGGCGGAGTCCTTCTTGCGGGCCTTCAGGAGCTTTGGCTGCAGGCTCTCGCCGCTGCTGCTCCGCCGGCTTCGACTCCGACTCCTTTTCGGTCCCGCCGCCGGCGCCGTGGCTGCCGGCGCCGTGGCCGCCGGCGCCGTGGCCGCCGGCGCCGTGGCCGCCGGCGCCGTGGTGGCCGGCGCTGCAGCCGCTTCCCTGGGCGCTTCCCTGGGCGCCTCGCCGCCGGGCGCTTTGCCAACAGGGGCTTCCAATTTGGAGGCCTTTGGGTTCTCCGTCACGGACTGGGTCACTTTGGGATTGTTGGGGATACTGGAGCTGGAGCTTTGAGGTGTTTTTTGCGTGCTGGACTTCTGGTTCGCCTTTGAAGCTTCAGGCTCTCTTGCCGGTGGAGGAGCATCTTGCACAGCTTTGATTGCCTCCCAAGCTTCGTTGAGGCGAACGCCGCCTTCAAGCCCTCGAGCCTCCTTCGACTCAAAAAATATGCTGGGGAGTCAGGAGACTTAGCAGAGTTTCAATTGTCGATGCTTCGACGGCGAGGGAGGAGTGGCAAAGCCACTCGCCAGTAATCAAGAACAGCCTGATGGTAGGACATTCGAGAACGACAATATGGCAACAAGACAACAACAGCCTCAAGAGCCTGCACTCAAAGATACAAAGGTGGGCAGCCTCTACTTTAAGACTCTAGAAGAGACATGTGTGTGTGTGTGTGCGATGTAAGTGAGGGCATGTCTGCGGGTCTCCTCGACGTCAAAGGGGTCGAGGAGCTCGTTGAGCACGTGGAGCAAGGCCGACGGCTGGAGGCTGTACTTGGGGCACTCGGAGAGATCTGAGAGATCTGCGAGGCCGCGGCGGCTGAGGCGGCTGGCTCGGAGCGGGTACTCGGCGACGAAGGCGTTGAGAGCCTTGGCAACGGAGCAGTGGGCCATCGGCCACCTTGGCAACAGAAGCCATGAAGATGAGGAAGCCATTGAAGCCTCGACTGCCCGGCCGAGGCTTCGTCGAAGTTCACCGGCAAAGCCTGCGCTTTTCGCGAGCTCCGCGGCCTGCCTCCATTCACGGTCGTAGCGACGCAGCCGGCCCTCCAGCCAGGAGAAGCATCGGTCCCGTGCGGCTTGCGGAGCTTGCCCGTCTTTGTCGTCTTTCTCCTCTCCATCGCTGAAGAAGCGCAGTAGGAGCCGGTTGGAGAGCTCACGCACTTTTTCGGACAGCTGTTTGCACTTCTCCAGAGCCCTGAAGACCAAAGCAAGGGCCACAAGGAAGTCCACTTTGATGTTGGTTTGGTCGACCCATCGGTAGCAACACTGGAGGTAAGATGCGGCATCAAGGACTCTGAGGTGCTCCTCGATGGCTCCGAGTGCCTCCTCCGACAGCTCCAGATCCTCCGCTTCCTCCGCTTCCTCCGCTTCCTTTGGGGTGAGCATGGCTAGCCAGTCATTGAAAGAGGAGGTCAGAGCTGTCATTTGCTCCTTGACATCTCCTTGCAAAGGTGCAAAGGACCGAACTGCCTTGGCGCAAAGTCCCGGCGACAGCTCCTCCAAGTGGCACCCCAAACTGCGCACCAGCCGAGAGCCCTGCGAGCTTTCAGAGGACCAGACGCCACTGAGCTCCGAGAGCTCTGCAGTGACATACCTGCCCAGCTCGAGCTCCTCCTCCTCCTCCTCCTGCTCCTTCTCACCCTTCTCCTCTCCCTTCTCCTCCTTCTCTTCCTTCTCTTCCTTCTCCTCTTCCTTCTCTTCCTTCTCTTCCTCCTCCCCCTTCTCCTCCCCCTTCTCCCCCTCCTTCTCCTCCTTCTTCTCCTGCTTCTGCTCACCCTTCTTTCGCGCCTTCTCCGCCTTCTCGTCCAGGCGCTGCAAGAGGCGCAGCAGGCCCCGCTCCGCGGCTGCCGCGGCCCCAGCAGCCATGCACGCGACGCGCGTGAAAGGATCACCCAAAGAGCTCCAAGAGCTCCAAGAGCTCCAGCAGAGTTAGCGCTGCGTAGGTAGCTGTGTAGGCTTTAAGATTCGTGGGTTGAAAGCGATTGGGACTGGCTTGGAGCTCATCTTGGAAGCATCGGCGAGTATTAGGTGCCGGAACTGCTCTGTGACCGGTTACTGCCTTCTTGGTGATTCTTGGTCTGCAAGTGATGTCCTAAGATCCTCTGCGAAGAACAAGTACAAAGCCATGTCAAGCCCACAGAGGCTGCTCGACAATGACGCATCCAAGCGTGCCATGTTGTGACGAAAGCCCGGAGGATGCAATTTCAGTCCAATCAGCTTCTCAGGAAGACGCTGATCAACGATGACCTACCAAGTGCGGCCTGGCCCTTCGGGTCCTTCGGGTCCTGTGGTGCTTCGGCCATGAGGTTGTCTAAGAGGGATTGCTCCTGCGCATGGAACAATGGACGTGGCACTCGCAAGGAGGAGTCAGGGCAGTGATATCCAGGCACATCCAATGTGCATCCTGCAGCGTGGATGGCGCTGATGGCGCCTACCACAAGCCAGTCAAAAACACATCAGCAGCTGTCTGGCACCTGACCTATGCAGCTGCCAAAAAGAGACTTTCGTGACGGCGGAGAGCGCCTCAATCTGGGCTTGAGTCACTCTGTATCTTCTCAGTGCTTTGACCAGCACCTGTCGGCATGTGAGACTACAGGATCACGAAGCCGAAGCCCGCAAGCCCGCAAGCCCGCATGCCCAATGCAACATTCCGAGGCAGAGAACACAATATGCACGCACTGGCACTGAAGTCTGGATCAGAAGAGCGGCGCAAGGAAGCCAGATCGAGCAAGATCGAGCAATCATGAGCTCAAGGTACACAAGACCAAGAGGGGCGGCCCAAGGTGCAGAGGGATCCACGAGAATAGCTAAAGCAACAGCAGCCCCAAGACCAGCAAAGAAGTGCAAGGCGAACATATTTACACATGTGTGCATATGCACATGCATAGGTACATGCGTACATGCATAAATACACACACATCAGATAATCTTGTGAATCGCAATCATGCTGTAACAACCCTGCCAATCCCAATATCAGAAGGGCCATTACCATCATAATCACAATGTGGTATGCATAAACACAGAGTACATTACACACACACACACACACAACGTGCAAGGCCCACCTCAATTGGTGCCGATGTGTTGAATTCAACAAGTTCCTCGCTCTCTGGCCCATCTCGAGCATCGTTCGGCCTGCACCGTCACAGACACATCGAGCTCACAAAGTCGAAGTCTGGCTTCATCTGCTTTGCGAGGGGGGGTATGGACATCTAACAGCCACCCTTGCAAAGCCGATGTGGAATGACCCTGAGTTGCCCGGACCTCGACATGCGAAAAACTTGGACGTCTCGTCGTCAAAATGCAAGGGCACATTTGAAGCAGATTAGACTTGCGCAGCCGCGTCAAACTCAGTAAAAAGGACTATGCCATGCAATCTGGCACGACGATCGTTTCCAAATTCTCACAGACAGGCTCTGCCTCCTCTTGCCAATTGAACCTCTGCTTTCCCGCCCGTGGCTCTGATGACGGTGGAGGTGCTTCAAGGCTTTGTGCTCTTGCAAAACTAAGTGAGCACAACCTTTTGGAGTTCCCCACGCTGAAGCCTTGGCGGCCTGAAGCCTCGGTGGCCTGAAGCCTCAGGCTGCCCTGAAGCTCAACATGCCACCCTTTGCTCAGACTTCAGGACTTCTCAAGTGCTCAGAAGCCTCTCCTAAAGGTCCTAAGGCTGAAGGAGTCGCCGGGCAAGTAGAGTTCAGAATGTACCGCGGAGCTGCATCAGTAAACGTGTAGCTATAGTCGCTGCTGTCAGTTTCTGTCTTATGCATCAGACATGCCTCGAAAGAACCGAACAGGGGTGCGACATCTATCACCCCAAGACCTCCGAAACACCGGGACTTCAATACAGGATCGATCTCTCATCACATTGCTTTGCGCAACTTGTATCCACACCTTGCGCTTATGAGCTGTAATTTTCAGCGTGCAATTTGACGAAGTGCACTGAAAGAGTCTCCAACTTATGAGGTATGTGGGGAACAAAGAGCAGACCTGACCTGCAAACTGGCGTGCCGACAACTTGAGCGGAACTCAAAGAAAGCAAGTCTGTGAATTGAGAACGGCTCAGAGAGTGAGCCGGATGCTCAAGGAGGCAAAGCTTAGGAAACCACAGCCAAGCATCTCAAGCTGGGTTTGGGGACCAAACTCCACTCCGAAACCAAGCATTACCATAGGCCCCTTTGCCTTGCCGATTGCATGGCCAGATCCAGGTAAGACAGGAGGTCCCTGTCTCACACAACCCAAACACCGACAAAGTCACTACCACTCGCGGAGCCCTTGCAGTTCAAGCGAAAGCTCAGGTGTGCTGTTATACCTATTCGGCACATATTACCTCTCAAAGCAAGATGTAGCAATGTAGCAGAGCATTGCTAACGTCGGAAAATGGGTATTGGCGGTATTGGAGGGTGCTGGAGCGGGTCGGCCTTCTGCTCAGATTGCACACCAAAGCACCTTTTCCGTCCTGCGCATAGCTGACGTACTGGTAACGTAAAGTTGAAGTAGCACGTGGCAACTACAATGGAGAATGGGGAATCTGCGACCTGCAGTGCTGCTGATTGTGGGCTCATTCAAGCATTTGCTACATCGCGTGGTCGAGATTCCAGACTAAAACAACGACGAACCGAGTGCTTCCACGGATGAATGATTGTCACATGTGCTCATTGCTGTCGCCAACAGGACTGAAGGCTGCAGCCATATGGACTTCAAAAGGCCTCAGAACCCCCCCGGCCCTACACACGGCGCACACTTGCGGCTTGCAAAAACTTGAGCCCTTCCCTGCTGGAGAGCAAGCCATCAGAGACAAATCCCACAAAGTCGCAACGAGCCATCTCGCACAAGCCATCTCGCACAAGCCATCTCGCACAAGCCATCTCGCACAAGCCATCTCGCACAAGTCCCGCACATCTTCAAGAGGCCATCAAATCCTACCTGTCCGCTTTTAGGATGCGTCGGTCCACGATGGGAACCGTGCTGTGGTGCGTCTTGGCAAAGAAGTCCAGGAGCTCGCTCAATGGTTGTGTCTGGCCTCCAACACTCAAATGACGCAAATGCAAGCCAAACGAGACACAGAGAGAGAGAGGGAGGACGAAACAAAATGCCTCGAACATGTGGTTATGAGCACTGCAACCCTGGGCCCAGGGCCGCCCACGCCCTAAACCAACATTTTCTGCCTGTCTATTTGTGACGGGGTGCTCCGTTTCTTTCCGGGTCGGGCATCGTTTCGGCGCACGCATGCGTCACCATTTCGGGACGGACTTTGGCCCACCCCAGCAATATCTGTTGGTCGATAGCGGGTGCAGGCCAAGCAAGCTACTGTCAAAACCGTCCTTGTGCTTTCCAGTACTGCTCGGGGCATGAAATGGCATTGTGAAAAAGGGGTGAAATTCGAACATGGGCCTGAATTTGACAACGCTTGGAGGCCAGTGGAGGAGGGCTAGGGGAGGGGTAGTTTGGCATTGATACCACCCTACCTACAGGGCACGCGTGCATAGCTTGCCTGGTGGCTAGGGGGTGCCAGGCTCCTTCATGGAATCTGCGAACGGCCATTTACAGGAGTTTTGGCTTGCTCAAGGGTAAGAATTTGCAAGACATGGGGCGTTTTTGGAGGCATCACGGGCTTCAAACATTGCGCTTTACCATGCTTTCGACATGCACTAATAAGAGAGGGCCTGGGATTGCAGAAACTAATATGGCTGCGAAGTTCGCTCCCGACTCTTTGTTCAGCAGATGGCCCTCAGAGCCGCCATCATGTTCGCATCCTAGGGTAGGTCAAACATCCTTTGGCATTATGTTGTGCCCAGAGGCAAGAACGCAGCAAATATCAATGCTTTTGGGCATGTTCACAACAGACATGAATGCTGGTGACAGCGCGTGTTGTTCCAGAAACCTCAAACATCCTTTGACATTATCTTGTGCAAAAGCACAAAAGAAAACGCTGTGAATGCCAGTGTTGTTTAGGCATGTTCTCAACAGACATGAATCCTTGTGCCGCGCACAACCCCTGAAACCTTTTGCACGAATTGCCACGGCATCGATGCTGGAGCTTAGAACGAGAGCACTCATCATTCTGGGCCCGTGACTCAGCACCCAAGGCGAGGAGGCCTCCTGTGATTGAAGCAGAATGAGAGAGTGTCGACTCCTCATTGTCATTCTCCACTCTAGATGTCTCCCGCAGAACACGTCATCTCACACGTCTTTGAGAGCATTGACTTTGCCTCGGAGTCCTTCTCACCGGGCCTCTTGGGGGAGCTGCAAGAAAGTATGCTCGTCTGAGATTGACATGAGTCTGACATCAAAGAACGAGAAAAGGCAAAGCACAACGCGGGGAACTTTTGGTGGAGGGCTGTCCTTTTGAAAGCCAACTCTCGTTGCTGAGCCAACTCTCTTTGAGGGGCCCGCCGGTAGCTGGAGGACTCGAACTGGCGCTGCGCGCTGGGCGAGCTGCCGCCTCACTGTGGGCTCCAAACCACCCTCCCCCCCCCCCCCCCATTGAAAGAGAACACCCCAAACCCCCGCCCAAGCCACCAAAAAGAGAGGGAGGGAGAGCGCCCTGAGCTTCGGACTGCCACCTCCCACCTGGAACGATTCCCTCCCTCTCTCTCCCTCTCTTCCTTCATCTCAGATTCATCCTCGCATCTTTTTTCGTCACTTCTCGTCACTTCTCGTCACTTCTCGTCACTTCTCGTCACTTCTCGTCACTTCTCGTCACTCTTGGCGCGCACTTTGCCCCAAGCTACCCCCCTCCCTCGTCAAGCTGAGCCTGTGTGACACAACTCTGCCAAATCTGCGCCAAAACTCTGGGGGCCGCAACTTTGAGGCTCGCCAGCGGTATCAACTCCTCGCCACGAAGCCGGCCGAGCAGGAAGGCCAAG